ATCCCTTTTCCACATGAAAAATGTTTCAAATTTTTTTTAAAACTTTATTTTCAGCGATATCTTATCTTTACATTCAATCTTTATAAACGTTTCATAATAGTGATAAAGACAATAAAATTGCCAAAAGGTTTCTTAAACTTAATGCTGAATTTGTNAAGAACATTTCGAAAAATTGATTTCTGAACAATAGGACATGAATGGGATGCTAAAAAAGATCATTCACTGTATTTCTGAATTTTTTTTTAAAAATACGGATTAATCCCAGAAGTCAAAGTTGGTTGATTAAGAGCAGCGTTGAAGGAACTCATCTGTTGAAAACTCAAATCTATGATTAAAATTCCTCCTATGTAATGTGTTGAAAAATCGTTGAATATCCTGATTTTGGGCAAAATACTCGGCAAATCATAACAAAAGTCCAAAATTTATGTATTCACTTTTTTTTATCTATTCGTTACGTCTTTTATTAGCTTTCGTTACTTCTTTTCATTCAAATATTACTATTTTTCAGATTTCCTACAGATAAATTAGCGTATCTTAAACATTACTTCATGCATGAAGATCAGTTTTGATTTCATATGATATACATTCGTTTTAGAGCAAATTAAACTTGAAAAAACAAACCTACACTTTCAAAAGTTGTATTGTTCTAATAATCCCATCTGAGCTTATTTTTGATGCGAATTTTATGCTATAAGTGGATTATTGCTGTAATAATCCCTTTTTCACATGAAAAATGTTTCGAATTTTTTTTTTTTGAAACTTTATTTCCAGCGATAACTAATCTTTACATTCAATCTTTATATACATTTCGTAAGAGTGATATAAACAATAAAACTCTCAAAAGATTTCTTAAATTTAATGCAGAATTTGTTGTTTAAGTGAAACATTAGTGCATTGGACTCAGAATGTTTAGTGTAATAGAGTCATTTTTTAGGCATTAAGTAAAAAGTCTGAATGTAACATTCGATGTTTTAAAATTATAAAGTGTTTTTTCTTTAACAATTTGTTTATTCTATCATTAAAAAGATGAATTCGAGAAAAGCGACAGTAAAGTTTTGATGATGATTGCAAAAAATAGTACATTTTGAATTTTTAGGAATTAAATAAAAACATTTCTGAGACATTATTTTTTGGAAAATAATGATTGTTTAGAGAAAGAACCCTTTAGAAAGAAGATTTTCTTTTCTTTTTCTGCGTTATGCAGAAAATTTCGTGTTGCATTTCTTTCCAATTTAAAGCGAAAGCAATAGATATAGCTGAAGTAATTTGATGGCAAATGTAAATATAAAAAAAAAATTCCATATCGAAATTTCGCGTGAAATAATGAGCTTTCAAATACATCCAAATAATTTAAAAACCTTATCGCACTTTAGATAATGGATTATTACCAACTTTATGACGCGGATATATATAAAACACAAACAATTCCACGCTAAAAAAGCAAATTATTTTTAAAGTTTGATAATAAAACCTGATTTTCATCTTTTCGAGAATCAACTCATGCGTTTTCTTAAATAGAATATTTCAAACACTTTCCGAATGTATGTCCTTAATCCATGCGTGAGATATATTCCAAATAAAAGTTTTGTCGAAGAAACAGTGATCCGAGCCATTGCAATTCCGTTGTTTCCGTCTGATGAGAATTCCTCGAATTGTTTTCCAAATTCTCCGCCAGAAGTTGGAAAAACTCGTAAAATCTACTCAGGAGCATGACAAACTGCCCAAAAATCTGCATAAATTCTGCTAATAAGATAATTTATAAGCGCATCACACCCTCGTTTCCTCTTGTCAGTTTTGGTTGCTTGACCTTTGTTGTTTTCAGTATCATGTCTTATTAGGAGACAAAAAACTCATCTTTGGTATGAATTTGTTCTGCAACGAAGAATACTTTTCTTTGCGTTATTGATTTAGGAAGTTGTAAAATGCGTGGAAGAATCACACTTTCTTCCTTTCCTACTTACATTATCGTCAATTTTGATCTATGTTTATGAAAGTGACGAAACTGTATAGGAAAAATATATCTTTGATTTGATTTAAAATCACAAATGCGATTATTTTTTGATTGCCGACTTTTTTTCTCAATGTCATATGTTATTGAAAACAGAAAACTCATTTTATCGTATACATTTATTCTGAAACGAAGATCACTTCCTTATGGATAAGTAGAAATATGTAATGTGGAATAAGTTTAAATTTGTTAGTATACGTCCTTCCTTTTACACTTACATCACTTCATTTGTATAAATACAAAAGAAACAAACAAAAAAAAATACAACTTTTGATTCATCTATAAAAACTCAACTGGGGTTGCAGAAAACTTTATACTGGAATGAAAGTTTTCTAAAAAATATAAATTAAATTGAAATAAAACCTGATTCGATGCAAAGTTAGGGTTGGTGCTTGCGTGTTTATAGCTGGAAAGTTACAGTATCATAATTATATTATATTACACAGATTTAAGACCATGAGAAAACAAATAAGAAATATCAATTAAAATTGTCAATTGAATTGATATTGTCTGAGTTTATTAATTTTCTATTATAACTAATAAAATTGTTTTTTTAATAGTTTAATTTTTATTATTAGTTTTTGATATAACTCAAATATGCTAAGGGCATATTTAGTGGGCTAAAATCCGTATAGTACAAAAAATTCTCTATCTGTATGGTTCAAATTATAGCATGCACAGAAAGATTTCTTTTCAAAACAAACAGTCGTATTAACATACGTGAAACAAATATTTTAACAATAAATATTGGAAAAATTAAATTATTTTAGTGATCAAAAATGGCAAATTATGGGCTAAAATTAAAAAAAAAATTTAATTTTGTGGGGGTATTTGCACTGTACAAAAAACACTAAAATTAAAACAGTTGTGTTGTAAGTCAATAAATTAAAAAATTTAAAAATCAATCACACGAGAAAATTTTCAAAATTTTCAAAAAAATCACTGAAAACTCACAAGTTTAAAAAAAATCTCTTTTTTGTTCCATGATGCAGGTGTACACTTTTCATAGAATACTTTACTCTATAAAAAATTTATATTAATATGACCATGATATACCCCTTCTTTTCGGACTATTGTTACAAGTAATTAGTACAATTGAACCGCAATAGCTTCAAGAACAATCAAAACACTACTGATAATGAATGTCTTTTTAACGTTCGTTTCTATTCAAAATAACTTGTCACAATTTTATTACAATAAATATTATTCTGTGTCTGTCAGATTTGGTCACTGGTAGGACAGAGTTGGGGTCATTACATGGTGAATACTATTTTACAAGGTCACTTTTTATGTTCAACATCTAGCATTAGTTTTGAGATTGTTAGGGAATTTCAAGTCTAATCTTCATCTTATATCTAGTTAGTAAGAAATTAATATGCGATGTATGTATGTCAATAATTTTAAAATTAAATGTTAAGAAAATCGACTTTTGATAGCAAAGAATTTCAAAACGAACGAACGAACTCCATATCAAAAAGACCTCAAATCTATTGTTACCTTTCTTTCAAATAAGCTGTTAATGGTCTCTTTCCAAAGTAAGTACTTATTATGATTGGAAAAACGTAACGGCGATGTTTTTTTATAGCATATTTTTTAAAATTATTGCATTTTAGATTTCAGACACATGATCATATGGAAACAAATCAATCGAAAAAATATATTTAAAAAACAGGCCAGAAATGTTAGGAACGCTTTATTGGTATTGGTATTCATTTTAGAGTTTAAACTAGAGTTTGGCACAAAATTTACTCGATTACATTAATTGATTGTAATAATTAATTTACTCGTAATCATGATTACGGCAAATCATAATTTTGATTTACAACTGTAATCATGATTGTAATCGTGATTACAACTTCCTATAGTTTTGAATATTATTGTAATCTTGATTACAAGTAGTCAAAACATGTAATTGCATGTAATTATTATTACAAGTCGTCAACATGATAATTGATTACTATAAACGACCCCCAACTGTTTTTAAACACTTTTTGAGCTGTACTGTTATAAATTTCTAGGAAAAATGGTTAAATAAAAATTTTTTTGATTGTTATTGTACCGTATTGAAGCAAAATAGTCAAATAACCGTAAATAAGATGGTATTTAAACTATTAATTGTGACAAAAACCATTTATAAACTGCTTTCACCTAACACGGTTAAGCAGCCAGAATTTTATGGCACCAACTTCATCCAAGTAATGAAGCCCACATAGTTCCTTGCAGATTGGTACATATTAAAGCCGAGAGGGCTAAGCTGTCAGTCTCGTGACCAACAGAACGGTAGCTCGAGTCCCTGCGTTAACATCAGAAAGCTTCCTTCATTTCCTTTCAACACATGAAGAGTCTCCAGTGTCCTACTTTCCCCAATTTGTGACCATAGACAATAAGAATACGATACTCTCACTCACGGGTAGATGGCAGCACAAATTAGGGAGTGCATGACATTGGTAACTCTTCTTGGATTGAAGGGAATATTGTGGTGTCAACGCTGGGACCCGCACCACAGTTCTGTTGGAAGTGAGATTGACATATTAATCATCTCGGCTATAATATTTACTCAAATGCAGGGAAATATTCATTAGTTGGAGAGATAAAATTTTGGTTTTTTAACCGTGTTAGATGAAATCAGTTAATAAACGGTTTTTTTTCTTAGTTAACAGTTTGAATCTCATCTTATTATTGGCTATTTGACTGTTTTGTTTAAATATGGTAAAATAACAATTAAATAAATCGTTAACCATTTTTTTCCGAGAAATTTCTAACAATGTAGGCAAAATATAAAACAATTCTCACATTTCATGCTGTGTTCTTAACAGCTTTTATCATTTAATTAGACTACCTGGGTATTCCATAGAATGACTAGGCAAACTATATAATAATTTTTATACACTTCGCCTAAAAATGCCAGACATTCTATTGAATGCCAATATTTCATACAGTGACAGTAATAACATATATATTTAATATCTTGAAAAGTTTATATGGTACTTACATGAAAAAATACAAGGCAGCAGACTATAGGTTGTTATAAGCAGCAATAATATCCTCATTTGAAAGGAAACTGTAAAAAAAAAAATTAAATACAAAGTTGTATTATATTCTAAAAACTTATAAGTAAGAAGAATAATGTTTTGCTAACATTTTAAAAATTACAGTGCATTCAAATTTTAGTAAAAAAGAATAATAACGTAGTAAAACATAGAATCCTAATTGCGAAGCAAATATTAGACTTAATTAGAATTTTATGAAGTTTTACATAGATTATTTATTTTGAAGTACCAATAAAACTTAGTTAATCTGTTTCCTCAAAATATTACTTAAGTTGAAATATTACTTAAGTTTTTGTAAAAATAAATTAAGAAAATTTCAAAATTTTGAACTTACAGAATCTATTGTGGTTTTGATAAATTTTTTTATTAGAAATACTCAAAAGAATAAATAAATAAGCAAGCGATTAACAAACAGAAACATTAAAGAACGAGAAAGCGATAATTGAAGACATTTTTCAATAAATTATTGATCCTCACGTGATCGCAATTTCTGATGCTAGTTCGTTGTAATTTTTAAAATATGTAAACGTAAATTTTTGTTTAAAAACCTTTGTCTGATTTTCTTCATTTTTTTTTCTTTTTTAAGAAATGTATCTGATTTTTTCCACAAATATTTGAAAATTAGAGAATAATTTAAAAAAAAAAAGTTTAACATTTGTGATCATTTGCTCTAAGAATCATATATTTCTCATTTAAAGCTTTTCTTCGTAGGCTTTGTTGTAAAGAAAATAATGTTTTTTGCGATAATATGCTAACTTCATAATTATAAATTTCAAAAAGTTTTTTTATTCTGCAGATATTTAAAAATTAGAGAACGATTTAAAAAAAAAGTTTAACGTTTGTGATCGTTTGCTCTAAGAATCATACTTTTCATTTAAAGCTTTTCTTCGTAGGCTTTGCTGTCAAGAAAAATAATGTTTTTTGCGATAATATGCTGATTTTATAATTGTGAATTTCAAAAAGTTTTTCATGGTTGCATTTTGCGAATAATGAAAATGAAATAAAATATCAATATGAAGAAAAAAACGTTTGCGATCCAGTTTTTTAATATTTGAATACGGAATTGTTTGATTTCATAAAAATTTACAAAGAAAGAATTGTCAATAAATCTAAATAATTTTCAAGGAGGTAAAATGTTGCCAAGCTAGTGGTATCTCAAACAGCAAAATACTAAAAAGAACTTTTTTTTTATTCAATAAAAATAAGTCGATTCGTGACACGTTCTGAATTAAAGTTATTCTGTGTCAACGAATTGATTGAAATCTCTTGTAATAGGTTGATATAATTGTGAGTTTCAAAAAGTTTTTCATGACTGCTAGGTTACATTTTGCAAATAATGAAATAGGAATAAAATTACAATATAAAAAAAAGCATTTGCGATCAAGTTTATAAATATTTGAATACATACTCCCTTACTGAATTGTTTGAATTCATTAAAATGTTTAAAAAATTAAAGAACTATTAATAAATCTAAATGTTTTTTAAGCAGGAAAAATTTCGCCTAACTGGTGGTATCTCAAACAGTAAAATAGTTTTTTTAGAAAATATTGCTCCATTACTTTTCACAGTAAGATAGTGTATATATAAGATCAACGATTTACTTTAAATGTAAGTTGTAAGTTTCTTAATATTTGAATACTTACTCCACTACTAAATTGTTTGAATTCAAAAGAATGTACAAAAAAAAAAAGAATTATTAATAAAAATATTTTTTAAGGAAAAAAAATGTTGCAAAACTGGTAGTATCTCAAACAGTAAAATGTTTTTTTAAAAAAAATACTTAAAATATTGCTCTATCTCTTTGTTATGTAAGATAGTGTATACATTATAAGATCAATTATTTACTTTAAATGTAAGATTTTACGGAAGGTAGTAGTTTTTTTTTATTATTTTGAATAAAAATAAGTCGATACGTTATGAATAAAAAGTCATTCTGTGGCAAAAAGTGGCTTGTTTTCTAAAGTTGGAAAGCTGTTGTAATATATATTTTTTATAAAAAATGCACGATAACAAAGGTTTATTTTCTTACTATTTTCATAATAACAGTTTTCAACTATAAACTTAGTTTGAAATTTATTCCCTGATTATTTAAATAACTATATAGCATACCGGTTCTCTAAAAATTAAAACACACATTTTATGCATTCTTTATTGATTCTGAGAATCAGTTCAAAATTTTAATAGAAAAAACTCGTTTCACTTTTTATATCCAAGAAATTTATATTATACAAATTATAAACAATATATAATTTATATTTCTTATATATGTTTTGTATAAGAGCCGATTACCTTATTGGAATAAAAAAATAGACTTGTAAAGAAGTGAATGCTAATGAAGGTTTAATTGTTAACGCAGATCTATTGTAATTTGATTGACAGTTATATTTATTTGATGACTAAATACTTTTAAAAAACCTAAATTAAAGCTAACTGTATAATTAAGCAGCTAAATGTGCTTTTAAATCCATAAAAAAGGAATATTTTATTCTTTATATTTACTTTATTAATTAAAATTATCATTAAAATTTTTTGTCGTAACTTTATTTACTAAATAGTATTTTTTCCCTTTCTTTCTAATGAGTAAAATACATATAGTTTTCTTTTTTTTCTCAGAAAATCGGTTAGGAATTTTTACTATTTAAAGGTTTGATTTGTTGATAATTTCTCATTTATTTATTTAAACCAGGAACTAGAAATTTCATTAAAGAAGACCTTATACAAATTTAGAGAATTTTTAATTTATGATTCAATTTAACTGAATTGAACATTTGCCAAGCAATGATCATTTCAGCTGCTCACAGAAGAAGCAAGCGATGAGATGCTCCCCATATTCCATCTCCACCATACAAGCCTGGATCGAAAACTTCCTTTCGTAAAAAAATAATAATAAACTTTTACTGATAATTTAAATCAAACAAATGTTCAATTTAGCGGAAATTGAATTTGTCCCACTTGATTTATGAATAAATATATTCGAATCACATTCTGCAAATTTATAAATTTTTATATCTGCTTTTATAACCTTTGTTATATAGTTAATGAAAAGAATTGATGTAAATTATTTCAAAAACTTTTGTTCAATTCAGCAAATGAAGCTGATTCGCCGAAAACAACTGTATTGTGAATTTCGCTGGTACAAGGTGAGTTTTAGTAGAATAAATTTACAAAATAAGGTATAATAATATTAAATATGGTAAAATAAGATTCGATATATGTTCAAAGTATAGTATATGATAATATGAGAGCTGTTGGGATGTTTTCAAACAATATATAAATTATTTTTTACAGACATGTGATACAATAAGAATGAAAAATACTGAATTAGAGAGAAGATGCCTATTTGTCAGAATATTTTGAGATATTAATGCACAACTACACTAAACAATACTGAAGGCACTGCTAAAAGAAATACAGAAAAAAATCTCAGATGTATTTCTAATGTAAGTTTGTTTCTAATATCCAAAACATGAATATTTTATGTTTGTTTATTTTATTAATTAAATTGTTTTGAAAATAAAGTCTTATAATTTTATTTTCAAAATATTTTTTTCTTCGAGTTCATCTTATGAATAAATATATATATTGTTTTCTTTTTCCCAGAAGACCGGTAACGAATTTTAACGATTTATCTTATTAAGAGGTTTGATTTGTTGATATTACTGCTCATTTATCTGTTTAACTTGCACGAATGCCTTGTGATTTTCGGATAACAAACAGAGCAATACCTCGATTACATTTTATTCCCTTCAAACCATTGTTTCAATGTAATAAACACCCGGTAAAGAACTTCTCGCACACAACGCATTTTGAGCAACCGTTCTATGCTTCTATTCTCTTAAAGCTCATGTATCTTAATTCCGGAATCAATATAGGAAAAGAAAAACGGTTGCAAATTATCCAAACAAATCATTCATTCCAACTGAACAAAAACATACTAAATCGTAAATCAAAAATGAAACGAGTTTAAAAAAAAGAAAGAAAAAAGGAAACGCTTGGACGTACATATTTAGATTGTTCCAGGTAAAAGTTAGAGGTCAAGGAAAAGAGATTTTTAATCTTGTACTTAGATCAATTTGCTCGTCGGATTAGAGTAGGGACTGGGCGATCTTATAGGGTGAACAATGGAACATATTTCGCCTTGAGATATGTTCGTGTTTGTTTTTTCCGCTGGTCGTGGGGTGTCATTCTCTTTGTACCACTTCCACGTATTTCAGAGATAAAGAGAAAATTGCTATAAAATTTCCAAGTTTACTTTGAGTTGAATTCTTATATGAAGAGATCACATGATTTTTCAATTATACTTCATTTCGACTTTAAATCACGCAAAAAACGTTTTATTTCAGTAGAAAAAATGTTTTCGTTGGCATTATAATCTATCATACTTAAATAAGTGCATCAAGGTCAGGCTTTTTTTTTTGTGTTAAATGCATACTTAAACGATATAGCTTTGAAATCGAATTTTTTTTTTATTCAATGCTTGCCTATTCATTGCCGAGTCATTTCTAGGAAAAAATGGTTAAATAACAATTTATTTAAATGTTATTTTACCATATTCAAGCGAAATAGTCAAATAACCATCAATAAGATGGTATTCAAGCTGTAAACTGTGAGAAAAAGTGTTTATTAACTCCTTCCATCTAATACGGTTAAACAACCAGAATTTCACTGCACCAACTCAGTCCACCTAATGAAGCCACTTAGTTCCTTGCAGTTTGATACATATTATGGACGAGAGGAATAATCTGTCAATTTCATGATCGCCTGAACGGGGGTTCAAGCTCCAGCAACACCACAACATTCCCTTCAATGCATGAAGAATTTCCAGTGTCCTGCAATCCCCAATTTGTGACCCTGGACCATTAGAATAAGATATGGCTGCATCATAAATTTTCCTAACACAAAAAAAATCTAATATTTCTCATCTCTTTCGATAGGTGAAACAACCAGATAAAATAATTAAACTACATTGCACGGTCCATTTAATAAATTCAAAACTCTACCGCAACCTAAC